CAAACAGGTCTGGAGCGATGGCACCGTTTTCTCTGGAAACTGGGCCGTGAGCCTGAGCGGCTGCTGAGACAGTGCTCAGTCTCCGGGGTGCTCCCCGGGCTGCAGGGGGTGCTGGGGAGTACATCCTCTGCGGAAGGCACGGTGGCCGACGCCCTCGTTTCCCCACGCACAGCAGGTTCCCGGGGGAGGGAACCGATGGAGCTGTCACCGCCGTCACCGTGCAAGGCCAGGGCTGGACTCAGAAGGAAGCTCATTAAGCCCTCGTTCTGGTTCTGCCACTCCGCGGACAGACGTGAGTGAGGCTGGCCCATCCCGGCAGGTTACCCCACTCTGGTTCTCGTTTCCTCCTCCTCTGAACGAGGCCACGATTATCTGCTTTATGTTGTGGGCTTGCAGAGGCGCTAACGATGCCCGATTGGGACGTGGCAGTCCTCTCCCCGTACGTGCTCACACTGGTCTCTGATGCGGTAGCAAAGGGGTCAGCGGAGCCGAAACCAGTGTGGCTCAATGGATAGAGCGTCGGCCTGTGGACTGAAAGGTCCCAGGTTCGATTCAGGTCAAGGGCATGTACCTTGGTTGCGGGCACATCCCCAGTGGAAGGTGTGCAGGAGGCAGCTGGTCAATGTTTCTCTCTCATCGATGTTTCTAACTCTCTATCCCTCTCTCTACCTCTCTGTAAAATATCAATAAAATATATTTAAAAAAAGAAAAGGGGGGGCAGTCAGCGAAGGGACAAGTGTGCAAGAGGCCAAGGGCCCACCTGGGGAAGCGGCCATGTGGCAGCCGAGAGCACAGGGGTGGCTGACATCACAGAGTTGGGGGCATCCCCTAACCCACATGCGGCTCTTCGGCCCCTTGGATATGGCTCTTCCACAAAACACCACGGCCTGGGCGAGTCTGTGTTGAAGAAGTGGCGTTAGGAGAAGTTTAAGTTTAAACAATGTGGCTCTCCAGAGACATGTCAATCGCCGTGCTGTTGATATTTGGCTCTGTTGGCTAATGAGTTTGCCGACCACTGGCCTAACAGGAGGGAGTTAGGAACCAGCTCAGGTCCCATGGACTAAGGAAGATTTGAGATTTGACTTGAGCCACGCCTGTGCCTCTGGGGGAAACAGCTACTTCAGTCAAACTGCTGCTGGCCCCGGAAGGCCTGGGTGAGGCTAGAGGATCCGGTGCTCTTTAGGAGTTCATTGACTTGGTCATCCAGGTTTAACTGTTGGCGATTCCTCCTGCTTTTACTCGTCTGCTTATTGCTGAGAAGGGAGCAGGGAGGAAGAAACGGCTTTTATACAATTGAGGGCGGAAGGGTTTGAACTAGAATCTGGAGTCTTTCTTTTTTTTTCTTTTTTTAAAGGATCTTTTCTTTTTTAAAAAATATATTTTATTGATTTTGTACAGAGAGGAAGGGAGAGAGTTAGAAATATCGATGAGAGAGAGTCATCGATCAGCTGCCTCTTGCACACCCCCTACTGGGGATATGCCCGCAACCAAGGTACATGCCCTTGACCGGAATCGAACCCGGGACCCTTCAGTCCCCAAGCCGACGCTCTATCCATTGAGCCAAACCGGTCTCGGCGAATCTGGAGTCTTTCTTTTCAACGCTGAGGCATCAAAGTGGGGTGCACTGGGCTGCAGCCACCCAGCTATGGATGATGGTGGTGAGCCCCTGTTTGGCCTGGCGGGCAGACCCTTTGGAAAGCAGAGGTGGACGGAAGCCCGTCCGGGACTCTGTAGGCGACCCCGCCCTGGGAGGGAGACAGACACGTGACTTAGACGTGCTGTGATGGAGACTCAGGGCTAAGAATGAATGGACTGGGCAGGCGCTGGACACAGCCTGGGGGCTGGCACCTGCCGTCAGCAGGGAAGCCAGCATCTGCTCACACAACAGAAAGGTTTTATTGGACACACCCCCAGGAAGGACTTGACTGCTGGCATGTCCCCGGCCCAGCCCGGAGGAACGACAGGTGTCCAGGTGTTTGTTAGGGTTGAGATGGGAGATTACTGTCGAGGTTGGGAATGGAACCAGACTCTCTCCCTTGTGCCAAAGAAACAAAAACCTCAGCTACTAAATGAGAGGGAAGGGGAGGCTTAAACCAAAATAACTGTACAACGATGGGCCCTTTCTCTTTTACCTCCCCTGACCCCGGCCCCCATCGATTAGAGAGAGTGGAAGGGAAGGAGGGAGGGGGAGAGACACATGGATTGGTTGCCTCCTGAACAGGCCCCAACCAGGGCCAGGAATCAAACCTGCAACCCTTTGGTCTGTGCCACACACACACACACACACACACACACACACACTCACCCCAGTGATGCTCTTACTACTGAACATACTGGCCAGGGCCCCTTTCCCCTTTTATAAAAAAATATATTTTATTGATTTTTTACAGAGGGGAAGGAAGAGGGATAGAGAATTAGAAACATCAGTGAGAAAGAATCATCGATCAGCTGCCTCTTGCACACCCCCTACTGTGGATGTGCCCGCAACCAAGATACATGCCCTTGACCGGAATCGAACCCGAGACCTTTCAGTCCGCAGGCCGACGCTCTATCCACTGAGCCAAACCGGTTTCGACCCTTTCCCTTTTTGACAAATGAGAGGTTACTCCAGGTCTTCCTGGACCCTTCCTTGCAGGCCTTTGCTAGCCACCTGACAGGGAGGGCAATGATGGCGGCCTCCTTGGACCAGCCGTCACTGACCTACAAGTAGAATCCAATGTTGCTGGCAAGTCAATGCCCCGGCCTTCCCCACAAAGCTGCCCTTCTGCTTCTCCCCCAAGGATTACAGATCCAGGGTGTGTACCCAGTGCCACGGCCTCCGCTTGGCTCCATAGAAAGCTCCTTGTGTTTCTTTGGCTTCTGCCCTTAGCAGGAAATTCTAGGAGTATTTCCCCCGCTCCAAGGAGGGGTGCTGGCTCTTCATACTAGTATTGCCCTCTGCATCCTGATTAAAGAGAAACCTGAGGATACTGTCCTCACCCCTGCCTCCAGGCCACATGCCAACCACCCGTGTCCAGGACAGCAGCTCCCTTCTGGACGGCAGTGCTGAGTGTGCTTGCCCAGCTAGGCGCCTCCTGAGCCGCCTGCCAGTTCAGTTCAGATGCAACTTGGCAAAGTCAGAGCTGTCCCTTCTCAGCTGACTCTTGTCTTTCTTCGTGCGACTCTTACCTTGTCATTAATTTTCCACCCGAAAAGCACCTGCAGCGAGATCTGACCTACATTTGCCTGTCATCAGATCCCGGTCCCCATCGGGCTGTCCCTGGTGTCCCCACACCCCGCAGCCGCCCTTGCCAGGGGCCTCCCCACTTGTCCTCGCCCTGTCTCAGCACCGAGCATTCCAAGAGGCCTTCGGCACTCTTGAGTGTCAAAGGGGATTTTTTCCGGGCCTTCCCGGCCTCAGCCATCAGACTCTCCTTACTGCATTCCAGCGACAGGCTTCTCCAGCTTTCCCAACGAGGCAAGGACAATGCACCACCTTATTCGGGCGAGACCTCCCAGGGCAGGCGGGCAATAAAAAAACCCAGGCTCTGCAGCCGTTCTGTCCCTGGTAGTGTGTGCCCTCAGGCTCATTTCTGCAAAATGCCTCTCCCTCACAGGGCCAGCGTGGGTTAAAGTGACACTGTGCACGTCCTGAACGCCAATCCCACGCATATTCCAGCGCCAGAGCATCCGCTCCTACATTTGGGACCAACATTTTGTCTTTGTATCCTCGCTGCTTAAAGCGACGCCTGGCCAAGTGCCCGTAGAATGAATGAATGAATGAGTGAGTGCATTTTGGCTCTGGATCTAAACATTGTTTCCCATGAGAATTTCTGGTTGGCCCTTCCCTCTGCTTGGGCTAAGGTACCCAGGCCAAGTTGGGGCGAGGCCCGCACCGTGAGTTGTGGTTTCCAGCCCATCACTCGCCCTCACCCACTCCAGAGCCTGCCCCATCTTGTATGGTGATGTGACAGGCACGCCAGGGAAGATAAGATCAGTACCCTCATTAAAGTGGCCGTGCCGAGGTCCTGGCCAGCGTCAACAGAGCCTTGTCTGCGTCTGCATCCGGGGATGCTGGCCCTGCTCCGGCAGAGGGGAGAGGGGAGCAAAGAAAGAAGAGTCTAGCCATGACACTGGCCACTTGACACCAGCCATCTCCCTTCAGCCTGCAGCCCGTTGCCACGGCAGGACAGGAAACCGACAGTGAGCCGCGTCTAACGGGGAGTCAGCGGGCCTGAAAAGGAAGTGGCGTGTTAGGGACTTTGCTGACAGGCTGTGCGGGGCTCAGCAGTGTCTGACGTAGGTCCCACGCACAACTGTGAAAACTAAAAACGAGACATTCAGCTCGCAGGGGAAGGTATCCCCAGGCCTTTTGTTTTTCCTGGAGGAATTTTATTTATTTTAAATATATTTTATTGATTTTGTACAGATAGGAAGGGAGAGAGATAGAGTTAGAAACATCGATGAGAGAGAAACATCAATCAGCTGCCTCTTGCACACCCCCTCCTGGGGATGTGCCCGCAACCAAGGTACATGCCCTTGACCGGAATCGAACCCGGGACCCGTCAGTCCCCAAGCCGACGCTCTATCCACTGAGCCAAACCGGTTTCGGCTTCCTGGAGGAATTTTAAAGCTCGCTTACCAGCACCCCGATGAGCCTAATCATACAAAGACAGTCAAGTAGAAAAATGTGACAAATACTATTTATTGTGACTAACTGCTCGGGCGATTAGCTGTTATAATAAAGGGACGATTCATAGTGAAAATAATATCGGAGGAGTAGCTTTGTGAAGCTCTTTGTGATCTGCTTGTCCAGTGTCACAGGCCGTCCTCGACAACACAAGACACGAACGCATTTCCTGCGTGGAAAGCCGAACGCTGGTGGCCAGGCCGCCTGCCGAGAGCCGTTAGCTTCTTGGTACCGGGGGCCGCGCTGGCACCTGTCTGCAGGCGGGGGGCCGCTGATCCCATCCGGGGCTGCTGGGGGCGTCAGAGAGGAATCCCTCCGGCTGCGGCCTCGGTCAGTCCAGGTCCACCTTGCCTTTCTGTTGCCGCTTCATCCTCGAATAGGGGCTGATGGTGTCGTCCATCACGAAGTCGTACAGGACTCTGATCCAGGAGTTGTAGTGGGGCAGGTTGTCGTAGTACTCGGCCGCTATCTTCCTCACCTGGAGGGAGAGACACGGAGGGTGAGTGAGGGGGCTCCCCGAGGCCTCGTGAAGATGACGGACGGACGTGTGACAGACCCTGGGAGACCATGAGACCTTTCTCCCCACAACCTCTCCGATCAACAAAGCAGCTTCATGAACTCTAAGCAATTTATTTTATTTTACTTATTTTTTTCCATTTTTTTAAATTAAAGTATTATATGTGAACTCTATAAGCAGATTCATCAGTAAAATAGACTTGACCTTGAGCTGACTGACGCTTTCCTATCAAGCCCTGAGGGACTACGCATCTGGCTTATTTGGAATCTTTACCAACAGATACTTGTTGTTTTTCAAGCACACCCGCATGGATTGTAGGGTACAAAGGTAGCACGTGACCCTGCCATCGGGAGCCGGCCAATGCGAGTACATTGCTGTGGGTGCCCACTGGATGGGCACCTGTCCAGCACGCGCTTCTGCCATCCTGAGGTGAGAATGTCTGTTGAAAGTGGCTGCTGCCAGTGTGACAGGAAGCACACCGGTTCCATGGCTTCACCAAAATGTACCAAACTCTCCTGAGAACCCCCAAAGGGGAACAACACAGCAGAGTCACAGACAGCAAGAAAATGGTGAACAGACAGCAAGAAAATGAAGGTCACGTTTCAATGACTCCTTCAGTTCGGGAATGTAACAGTCTCTTCTGGTTGTGGAAAACCAGATGATCGAACCACACTGAAGGAACCATTCAGTCAGAGAGAGCTCCCCACAGGGCACTCTGTCAGTCAGAAGAGAGTGACCGATACCTCTGGACACAGCCCTGCAACATTCCCAAAGTCCTCCCACGAAGGACACCTGCAGACCACACACAGCTAAACCAGGACCTAATCCAGGTGAACTGAGGCTCGAGCAGCGGTAAGCAATGCGCCCTAACAGCTAGAATGCCATCTTTCCGGAAAAGTAGAAAACCAGAACAAGGCCGGCCTCGGTGCACACGCCTCGGTGCACACGCCTTGGTGTACACGCCTTGAGAGGAAAAGCAGGAGGGGCGGGGAGGCTAGAGCAGTCTAAGGCATCTGTGAGTTTAGCTAAGGAGGGCGGAGACACCGTGAGACACGGGAAATGAGACATCCATGAGCCATGGCCTCACAGTCAATACTTGAACTGAACTAAGTTTCAGTCTGGGAAAGAAAGTAAAAGTATGTGGCTTATGTTGGGAAAGGATCTCTCGTTCAAAGGGCAGCCAGCTTTCTCCATAACCTTTTACAAATAAGTAATGTGCCTGCCCACTCGGGGAAGAGCGGAGGCCACCCCGCCAGTGCAGCCGGCACACGGCTCAGTGACCAAGGCGCGTCACGTGGCACCGGGCCCAGAGTGGCTTCCAGACAGTGTGTTTTGTGTTTCCCCATTTTACTGTGATTTACTACAGAGAAGCTGATGGGCCTGGCCAGTCTGGTTCAGTGGATAGTGTCGGCCCAGACTGAAGGGTCCCGGGTTCGATTCCGGTCAAGGGCATGGACCTCGGTTGTAGACTTGATCCCGGGCCCAGTTCGGGGTATGTGGGGAGGCAATCAATCAATGTGTCTCTCTCACATCAATGTTTTTCTCTCTCTGTCTCTTCCCCTCCCTCCCACTCTGTCTAAAATCAGTGGGAAAAATATCCGTGGGTAAGGATTAACAGAAAAGCTGATGGAATAGTAAAACTAACAGCCTTATGCTCTTCACCTAGGCCCACCCATTCACACTCTCCCTCCCCGTTTCTGAATTTCTTTGCAGGCAGCAGACTGTGCAGATCCCCCAGCACTTCTCAGCCCTGAGAGTTCCCACCGGGCTCCGATCCCTGGGTGTGAACTCTGAAAGCAGCTAGCAGACTCAGGACTTCTCTCGTTCTCTCTGATGAGAAGCTCACTGTGAAACACACTGGATCCCTTTTAACATAAGCAAGCGGAGACTCATTTTGATCACACGGCCATCGGAAATTGGCATAGGTATGGCACCCCTTACTTACCAGCGGGAGGTTTTTCCCGGGAATGTTGGGGAAGTCGTGGTGTTCGTTATGGTAGCCCACATTGAAGGTAAGTAAATTCAGAGGCCCGTAGTACGAGTAGGTTTCATGTCCCTTTAAGAACATGTAATGTTCGGCTATAAAATGTCCAGAGATCGGATGCAAACCTAGGCCGAGTAGGGAGGCTGCCAGCATGTAGACTAACGATTTAACTCCCAACACGTAGTAAACGATCACGTCGAATGTGAGCTGGACCACGGTATTGATGATTTCCAGGTAAGTGATCGGCTTGGGATTGATGAACAGAGGTCGGAAAGCATAGAAGAGAGGCTGAAGGACCACCCAGATGAACTTCCGGAAAGTGGTACAGAAGAACCAGCCTTCAAAATCGGTGGGGATGTCCACGTCGATGCCGTCGGCGCCGAGGTAGCGGTGGTGGTCCATGTGGTAGCGCTTGAAGGAGATGGAATAGGGCACGCCGATCGGCAGGTTGGCGAACATCCCGAACCAGCGGTTCCACATGGCTCTGTAGTGGCCGAAGGCACTGTTGTGGGAAACCTCGTGAATGGCCAGAGTCATGGAGTGGTTGATGCAGCTGCCAAAGGCATACGCCCAAAATATGACCCACTTCCAGTCCAAGTCCTTCACTAAGTACAGCACGGCCAGCTGCGTGAGAACCATCAGGATGACGATCCAGATCAGGTTGGGATCAGGTTTCATCAAGGACTTTATCTCCGGATACTTTGCTGTAGAGAAGAAACAAAAAAGAGAAATTAGGAACTTAGCAAAGCACAATTCTACAACGATAATTAAATCAACCATTAAAGTAACACACTGATTTCCCTTCTCTCCCCTCCATGCCCCCCCACCCCCGCAAAAAAAAAAAAAAAAATCATTACATGCCCCGTTAAGAGACTTGATCTCCTCAGGAAGGAGGAGATTCTAAAAGTAAGGTTACTAAATACGATGCCACAACAAATTGAGAATGTATGTAGGAAAATCAACCTCAAAATGTAGACTCTCCAATTTAACAAAAAACATAGTCACAGAGGAGTAAAGATTTCATGTTGTCCAATTACATCTTTTTAAAAAGATATATATATATATATATATATATATATATATATATATATATATTATTGATTTTTTTTACAGAGAGGAAAAGGAGAGGGATAGAGTTAGAAACATCGATGAGAGAGAAACATCGATCAGCTGCCTCCTGCACACCCCCCACTGGGGATGTGCTTGCAATCAAGGTGCATGCCCTTGACCGGAATCGAACCTGGGACCCTTGAGTCTGCAGGCCGACGCTCTATCCGCTGAGCCAAACCAACCAGGCCCAATTACCTCTTCACCTCTAACAAGTTTTGTATCGTAAACGTATCCGGTTTACTAAGTTAAAGCCATAGTCTGGCAAATCTAGCCTGTGTATCTAGCAATATAGTACATACGCAGAAAAGAAGTCAATCTTAATATTCTTCATTTCTTGGCTACTATACCAAAAACATAAGTAAGGTCAAAAGGAAAAAAATGGATAAACTGTACTACATCAAAACTTTTATTATGTTGCAAACAATACTATCAGTAAAGTAAGACAACCACAGAACAGGAAGAAATGTTTGCAAATCATGTATCTTGTAACTGACTTGTATTTAGACTACCGAAAGGCCTCTTAAAACTCTCACAGTTACTGACCCAATTAAAAAAGGACAAAGTTAGCCGGGATCGGTTTGGCTCAATGAATAGAGCGTCGGCTTGGGGACTGAAGGGCCCCGGGTTCGATTCCGGTCAAGGGCATGTACCTTGGTTGCGGGCACATCCCCAGTAGGGGGTGTGCAAGAGGCAGCTGATCGATGACTCTCTCTCATTGATGTTTCTCTCTATCTCTTTCCCTTCCTCGCTGTACAAAAATCAATAAAATATATTTTTTAAAAAGGACAAAGTCAGACCCAGAAGCCAGAAAAGATTGAAGACGGGGAGCAGCAGGGAGCTCAGCAGGGGAGCAAGCGCACTGCCGTGGCCCCAACTTCAGCTAGTGCTCACCACACACAAACACGCATGCTCTCAACACATGAACACACACCAAAGGCTGCAAAGGACACTAACCGCCTAAAACTCCACCAAGTCGCATCCTGGCCTCATTCACACGGCACCTGGGCAGCCATCGCTTTAAAAAAAACACTTTTAGAAACTGGGGTGACTGATCAGCGAGGCTCATTGGTTGAGCGTTGACCTATGAACCAGAGGGTCACGGTGCAATTCCAGGTCAGGGCACATGCCCGGGTTGCAGGCTCCATCCCTAGCAAGGGGCATGCAGGAAGCAGCTGATCATGGATCCTCTTTCATCACTGATGCTTCTCTCTCTGTCCCTCCTTCTTCCTCTCTGAATCAATAATTGTATATATTTGGAGGAAAAAGAAATAAATAAAAGGGGACAAAGAATCTGAATAGTTTTCCAAAGCCGACACACAAATGGCCAGTAAGCACAAGAAAGATACTCAGTATTTATTATTCATTAGACAAATTCAAATTGAAACTGAAATGAGATTGAATGGCTGTCATACCAAAGACAGGCAGTAAGTAACAAGGATGTGGGGAAATTGAACCCACACACATGGCTGATAACCACATACAATGGAGCTAGTTTCGAAAACAGTTTGGCAGTTCCTCAAAATGTTAAACATGAAGTTACCAAGGACCCAGCTCTCCCGCTCTTAAGAGAGAAATGAAACGGGTTATGTAATGTTCACTGCAGCATTGGTCGTAACAGTGAAAGAGTGAAGACACCCCAAAAGCCTACCAAACATGAATGGACAAGTCAACTGTGGTATGTCCACACAAGTGAATGGAGTGCCCATACATGCGACAACATGGATGAACCTTGAAAACATGAGGCCGAGCAAAGAAGTCTGATATTGCATGATTTCACTTATGAGAAATGTCCCCAACAGGCAAATCTAGAGACAGAGAGTAGATTAGTGGCTGCTGAGTCCTGAGAGTTGAAAGTGGGGCCAAGAACTGAAAGAGTAGAGGGCTTCTTTTGGGGGTGACTGGAAAGTCTTAAAAACTGAACTGAAATAGGTAACTCTGTATTGTACACTTGAATGGGTGACTTTAAAGTTGGTGAATTAGATCTTAAGGCTGTTAAAAAATTCTATTTTCCTGTGGAAGTATAACCGTAAAAGGGGCATTTCTTGTGGCTTATTATTTGACCTACAAGTAAGGTCTAATCCCAAGCCCTCATTAATTTCACAGAGATGTCTTTTTCTAAAATTCATTTATTTATTGTTGACAGTATACAGATGTCTCCCATCTTCTCCCTTCTCGCCCTCTTCCCCCCAGCCCCACCCGGCCCCGGTCCTCTTAGTCACATATGCATGTATGTTCTCTGGTTAAGCTCTTCCTGTCCCCTCTCCCTCAGCACCCCTGCCCCTCTGAGGTATGTTATTCCGTCCCCTGCATCCATCCCTCTGGCCCTATTTAGTTCATTAGTTTCTTTTGTTCTTTAGAGTCCACTTACAAGTGAAATCACAGGTGCCTTTTAATTTTACTTTTAATATAACTCTAAATGTAAATTTAGTGGTGTTGGTTGTTAAACAACATATTTATGCTTCCTCATGCTTTCCCCCCCCCCAAAACTGATGAATTTCAGAAATATCTCTTTATCATGTACGTTTAAGGCAAACAAATCTCCAGATTCTTATCTTCCCTCATACTCCGCCCCCGAAACGAACCCGGAGCAGTATTTACACCTGCTGGGGAGATAATCATATTTTCATTGAGCAATACGCAGCCTTTTATCTTTCCAAGTGAAATGGTTCGGAGATAATGTGTGAGGAAAAGGCTCAGCGTGGAGATAAGCATCAATAAGCATTTTTTTTTTGCTTCCCTGGTTTTCTATTAAGTAGCTAAGATCCATATTCGCGAGTTGATTTTCCCCAGGTGGATACCTGCTTATTCTTAGGCAATATGTTGATAAGGCATATCTCGTATGTGTCACTTGCAAAATGCACCCTGTAATTAAAAAGGACGCATGCAAGGCCTGGCCCAGTGGCTCAGCTGCTTGGAGCATCCATCAGCCCATACACCAAAAGGTTTCAGGTTCCATCCCCAGTGGGGGCGCAGACGGGAAGCAGCTGACGGATGTTTCAAAACATTGATGTTCTTCCCTCTCTTCCTTCCTCTCCAAATAAAAGCATATCCTCTGTGTGAGGATTGAAAATAAACAAAAAGAAAGCATCCAAGAACCAAATTCTCTTAAAAGTCTACCTCTGTCTTGGCTGGTGAGCTCAATGGTTAGATCATCGGCCCACGAACCCAGGGTTCTGGGCTGATTGTGGTTAAGGGCACATACCTGAGTTGTTGCAGGTTCCCTGCCCCCAGGAGGCAACCAATTGATGTGGGTCTCTCACATGGATGTTTCTTTCTCTCTCTTTCTCCTCCTTTCCCTTCCACTCTCTCTAAAACCATGGAAAATATACCTTCCAGTGAGGATGAACAAAAAGTCTACCTTTCATAGCGACTGTAAAGGAGGTGCAAGCTCCCAATTTACTAATTCAACTTTTACAAATTAATTTCAAAAGGATCCACTACCTCCTTTTCTGTAAAAAACAAAAAACAAAAACAAAAACATGACATTTCTAACTTTGGATTCCCCCAGCAAAAACCAGGGGCTTGCTGTTTGATTTCAAATGGATGCTGAGAAAAATACAATGTAGGAGAAAGAATTTCTCTAAATTCAACTGGCCACCAGTTCGTTTTCTGGAGGCAACCTAACCCAGAACGGAATCCCCCCTCTAACGTTTACTCCCTCTGTGCTCGCCTTCAGAACAGCAATCACTGACCTTGACTGGGAGGACTGAGTTGGGTAATGTTTGTAAAGAGTCAGCCCCATGCCCCCAGCACCTCGTGAAGAGGAACCTCAGAGAGAAGCGCTTTCTCCATAGAATTCAGAAGCTCCGAGGAGCAGAGCGCCCGCCACCTCCAGAGCGACAAGGAGGTCTCCCCGGCGGGTGCAGAGGCCTGAATCGGCGCCCAGGGGACCATCTCCAGGTGCCCAGAGCCCGGACGGATGGAAAATAACCAACAATCTGCCGGCGTGTCGCAGGCCGGTGTGAGGATCAATGAGACATCGAGCCTCCCATCCGGGAAGCCCCAGGGGTCACGCCGGCCGGGCCTCGGCCCCTCCCTGGGGACAGGGCGGCGGCGCCCTCTCCCGATCGCCGGTGCACGGACCCCCGAAGCTCCCGGGCAGCGCCCCAGCCCCGGGGAGGAGGGGGAAGAGGAGGGGAAGAGGAAGCAATGGCGCCCACCGGGGCACGGGGGTCTCCAAAGGAGAGGATGCCCCCACCCAAGGGCGATCTAGCCGGGGGACCGGCTCCCCGCACCCTCCCGCCAGCCGGATGCCTGGCCTCCCCGAGGAAGCGCCGGCGCGGCGGGCGGGCGGGCGCGCGGGATCGCCCCCTCCCCCCTCCGCCGGGCCGAGCCCCGAGCGCCGGCCTGAGGCCTCGGGGGCCTCTCCGGGGCGGCCGGGCGGCGGTGGGACGCGGAGGGGGCCCGGCTCGTAACGGGCCCGGGGTGTGCGGGGCCCGCGCCGGGAGAGCGCGCTCCGGCGGCGGGAGGCCGCGCGCGCACATAACGGGGCGCCGGCCCGGACTCACCCAGGATCTCCTTGCGCCGGTCGGCGTGGGGCTGGTCGGTGTAGACCCACTCGAAGTCTTCCCGCGCAACGCGGTTCCCCATGGCGGCGGCTCGCGACCGGCTCCCGACTGTCGCGCCCGCTCCCGGATCCTCCGAGGCGGCGGCGGCGGCGGCGGCCCGGCGGGAGTGGGCGGGCGGCAGGCCGAGCGGCGGAGCTGGGGAAGACGAGGCGGAGTCCCTGGCCCCGCCCCTCGGACCAGGCCCCGCCCCTAGGCCCAGGCCCCGCTCACGACGGTCCAGGCTCCGCTCCAGGCCCCGCCCACGACGGTCCAGGCTCCACTCCAGGCCCCGCCCCTCGGCCCAGGCCCCGCCCCTCGGCCCAGGCCCCGCTCCAGGCCCCGCCCACGACGGTCCAGGCTCCGCTCCAGGCCTCGCCCCAACGGCCCAGGCCCCACCCCCGACTGCCCAGGCCCCGCCCCCAACGGCGGGCGAGGAACGTGACCCGCGTGCGCGGCGCTCGTGGACCCTCGCGCGGGGCCGGGCGACGCCGCTCGGGGACGCGGGGCTCTGAGGGCGGGGACTCGTCCGCCGGCGGGAAGCCGCGCCTGCGGTCCCGCCGCCCCGGCCCGCCCCGCCCCGCCCGCGCCGGGAGGAAGGCGGGGGAGGAAGGCGACGTCGCCACCCCCGGCGCCGCTCTAGCGCTTCCGAGAAGGCCGGTCACGGGACCCGGGGCGCCGGTAAGGGCCGCGCGCCGAGCCGGCGCGGAGAGCACGTGCCCCCGGGCTCCGCGCAGCCGCTACCTGAGAGGATGGTTTTGGTTTCAAAATTAGTTACCACTTCTCCCCTAGAAAGGAGATTTTGACTCAAGTCACACCCGGACATGGTGTGACTCATAATAAAAAGACAGACACGCACACATACACGCATGCACATGCATACACGCACACATACATACACACACGCACACATACATGCACGCACACACACATGCACGCACGCACACATGCACAAATGCATGCACACACACATCTGATAAAACCCCGGCCCCAGCTGCTAACGTGTAGGACACAGAACTGGGGAAGCGTGTTAGACTAACCACAGGGATGCAGTCAGCAAGATCCTGACTGTGGGAACCTCTATAGGTTCTTTAATAAATAAAATGCAAGGCGGGGGGGGGGGGGAATAAATAGGGGGAACTTAAATATTAAAAGGGACGTAAGTGACCTACCAACCAATTGCAATGTACTGACCTTATTTTGAACAAATGGTCAAAGTTTTTTTTTAAAACAAAATCGACAGGAAATCATTTAAATGTTGCTTGGATACTTGGCAATATTAAGAAGTTGTTCGTTCATTTTTTTTAAAGAATATATTTTATTGACTTTTAAAAACACATATATATATATATATATATATATATATATATATATATATTATTGATTTTTTACAGAGAGGAAAGGAGAGGGATAGAGAGTTAGAAACATCGATCAGCTGCCTCCTGCACATCCCCTACCAGGGAGGTGCCTGCAACCAAGGTACACGCCCTGGGACTCGAACCTGGGGCCCTTCAGTCTGCAGGCCAATGCTCTATCCACTGAGCCAAACTGGTTTTTACAGAGAGGAAGGGAGAGGGATAGAGAGTTAGAAACATCGATGAGAGAGAAACATGGATCAGCTGCCTCCTGCACACGCCCCACTTGGGATGTGCCCGCAACCAAGGTGCATGTCTTTGATCTGAATTGAACCAGGGACTCTTGAGTCCGCAGGCTGATGCTCTATCCACTGAGCCACACCGGTTAGGGCTTATTCATTTCTTTAGTGTGATAATAGTATTAATGGTTCTAGTTGTTGTTTTGAAATCTACATCTTTTAGCGGTTGGGAGGGAATGTGGTTTTTTTTACTTTTAAATCGATTTTAAAAAAAATTATTTTTTTATTTCAGGGAGGAAGGGAGAGGAAGATAGGAATATCAGTGATGAGCGAGAATCATGGATCAGCTGCCTCCTGCATGTCCCCCATGGGGACCGAGCCCACAACCTGGACATGTGCCCATGTCTGGAATCGAATCTGAGACCCCTTAGTCTGCAGGCCGGCACTCTATCCATTGAGCAACACCAGCCAGGGTGGAAGGGAATGTTTTTATTTACATCTCCCTCTTCTTTATCTTTTACATTTGAATGGAATGTGGATTTTGACATTCTAAAGGGAAGGAAAAGGATTTGGCTCCAGCATTCTTGTGTGGATTGAGCAATATTTTGATGACACAGACATATTTAGGTAGGAATTTAAGAAGTTCTGCCTGGCCAGCAGGGCTCAGCGATTATGCCTCCTCCACCTATGAAACAGGAGGTCAACAATTGATTCCAGGTCTGGGCACATGTCCGGGTTGCAGGCTTGATCCCCAGTGTGGGGTGTGCAAGAGGCAGCCGATCCATGATTCTCTCTGATCGATGTTTCTCTCTCTCTCTCTCTCCTTCTCCCTTCCTCTGAAATCAATAAAAAAATCCTTAAAAAAAAAAAAAAAAAGTCCTTAATATGTCCTAACTGGTTTGGCTCAGTGGATAAAGCGTCGGCCTGCGGACTGAAGGGTCCCAGGTTCGATTCCGGTCAAGGGCATGTACCTTGGCTGTGGGCACATCCCCAGTAGGGGGTGTGCAGGAGGCAGCTGATTGATGTTTCTCTCTCATCTATTTTTCTAACTTTCTCTCCTTTTCCCTTTCCCTCTGTAAAAATTCAATAAAATATACTTTTATAAAAGTCCTTAATGTGTTTCACACCTTTTCCGTATTCTTGCCAGGTGATTTGTTGTTGGGCCATCCTACCACTTATTCCAGAAAGATGCTCTGCAGTCTGCTGTGAAAAGCTAAGGTGAGTTCCAGTAGTTCCTGATGCCAATAGGAAATTGCAAGTGAGGTAAGCAGATCATACTTTTGCAATCAAGGTGTCTATCCATGCAGATTTTTTATTCTCCACTTATTTGTTTTAAAGTAATTACATTGGTAAAGGTCATTGGTTTCCTAACCACGTGAACGTATTACATAGGCTATGGAACTAAAGATTCCACCCTGATCTACCTTCCGCAGACCTGGGAGGCTGCAGCCGCCTCTCTCTTCCTGCTTCTGTGATGTCTGGGTGGCCAGAGTGAAGAGGTGGTGCTGGGATAACTGGTCCCGCTTCTGTCACCCTCACCCTGCAGCACACAGTCATCTGTGACCTCTTTTCTGAACATCCAAGTTCTAGACAAAGTGGCTAAAGCCCAAGTATCCAAGCTCTTCCTGCGAATTTTGTTCGGAACCATTTACCAGTCCCATCTTTACAGACGGGGGTGAGATTAATGTGTGATGACATTTCTTTGGAATTTAGAATCGTTTTGGAGCTGGAAGGAATTTTGAAGAGAACCAGTATTCTTCCTGTCAGTGCAAAAAAAAAAAAAAAAAAAAAATCAGTGGTCACTAATTTTGTACTGATTGGCAGCGTTTAGTAAAGCAACTGTGGACCAGTGAGGGCTTCAGACACATCCGCTAGGACTGCCTCCTCAAGATTACAGGTTCTGGAAGCCCTCACAATTCTTTCTGCCTGTATGCCTCCGGTGAAACCATTGCCTCCTCCGAGCCCCGCCTTCCCCAGGTTTTAAGTTCTGAATGTTACTCTTAACACAAGGGATTTGGACACTGGCTACTTCTAGTGGATATATAGGATGTTCATTTATATATTTATTCCTAAATTTATCATTGACTTAATCTAGTTTCATAGCTCCCCGCTGTTGTAGAATTTAGTGTAGCGGATGTAGCAGGAAGTACAGCAGCTTTGGAGGCAGGGAGGTCTGGCAATTACTTGTATAGCATCGTGGACGTGTTGCTTAACCCAAACTTGAACATCCCCACCCAGAGAAAAACCCACCTCAGAGCAGCTGTGAGGACCCGGATAACATTTAAGACACCCGCTCAAGCCTCCGGAGGCAGCGAGCTATCGCCATGGCATTTGTGTGAAGCAGCGCTTCACCACCTTTTTGCACAGGAAATACAAAGTAAACAGGCAGCGCTGGTAACAACACTTTTATTTCTGTACCCTGCTGTGTGACTGGGAGGTGTTTTCCACTTTCCAATAACTGAATTCGGTTATGACAACGAAAATCCCAGAAGGTAAACTGGTAGTTTATTGTTGCTCATGAGCATAAGTAAACAGACATGGTACCACATAAAGGAGCTTTGAATACTTTGGCCGTGGACCTAATAGATTGCCAGTATGCTTCTAAACACCATCATTCCCTTCAGACACATCAGGAAACGTTTGGATTTTTTTTGACTTCAGAAATTTAACAAATCCATAGGGAGCTGACAAAGGCCACCATGACTCAAGCCTACCATATTTATCATGATTATACATATATTGCTATTAAAAATAAAATCATGGCCGAGACTGGTTTGGCTCAGTGGATAGAGCATCGGCCTGTGGACTGAAAGGTCCCAGGTTTGATTCCGGTCAAGGGCATGGACCTTGGTTGCGGGCACATCCCCAGTAGGGGGTGTGCAAGAGGCAGCTGATCAGTGTCTCTCGCTCATTGATGTTTCTAATTCTGTCTCTCTTTCTCTCTGTAAAAAAAATAAATAAATAAAATCATGGTACATGGCAGCCAACTAATGGCTAGTTTCAGTTCGTAGATCACTTTAGCATCTTTGAAAAATATTTCGCTTCAGAATGGCAGGCTATAGGGTTTTGTTACATTTAAGTGGGTTTAACTTACTAATCTTTTGTGGACTAGATAATTCAGATAGATCCCGAATCAAAGAATCGGATGGCATGTCAAATTGGATTTTATACGGGAAACAGCTGTTTGCAAGAGGCTGCATCATATAGGACGTTTCCTTTCAGAATGTCTTATTCCTGGCTTCAAATCTTAACAGCATATGACACTTGTAGACGGTTTAAGTGTTAACACACTGGTACTCATGCCTAGAGCAGGATATAAAAACGTGCTGATCACCAAGTATGAGACTTTACATTAAATTAAATTAAAATTATATATTGGTGGACACCGACAAGATAGGGAGTTCCTAGATCCTAGAAAATATTATGGCTAAGGAAATAGAGAACTCAAAAAAAAAAAAAAAAAAGAATCACGCCCAAGAAACTGATTCAGTTTAGTAAAATAGAACTAAGTGCCCTGTCTTAAGGAAAAGTTTATTAATAATAAGGGACAACTGGGACGTCATACATCATTTCTTTGGAGATTAAAGAAATGGCATAGAAAATAATGCATAAAATAGTGCAATCTGAAGGTGCCATTGCTTTTATTACACATAGCCTATGTTCATATGTTCATTTTCTCCCAAAACTCCAGCTGTAGTGACACCTTTTAGCTTATTTATTTAGGCATTATTTATACTTTTACCCATCTCTGGGGCTACATAGGATATCTTAACATTTTAACAAGTAGGATAATAGAGCATACATCTCGGAACTACGAAATAAGAGATTAAGGCAAGCCCCTATAGAGTTCAGTAACCCAGAAAACATGGTTTACAAAAAGAGGTTGCTTCCAAAACCAGTGGCACCAGACTGCATGGCACCCCAGTCGTCTGTAAAGCATGATTACTCTGAATACACTTGTGTTTGCCCCGCCATTTCCAGGCCCTGGACTTCCAAAGAGGAGCTTAAAAAAAAACACAAAAAAACACAGCAGGTTCTCTAACGTCAGGTTCTGAAAGAAATTCCTATTTCAGCCCATGTGGAAGCCAAGCCAAGTTCATGGAGATAAGCCGGGGATCCTGTGGGGGCAGGGTTCTTTTGGACATGGACATTGTGGCATTTACATCACTGACTTAAGATCCAGGCAGGATGGTTCTCTCTCTGGGAGGCTAGTTTACAATTGACATACAACATATGTCAGTTTAAGCTGATCAAAAGGATCTGTGATTTGCTGAACCTTAAATACCATTATGCTATCCAAAAGCAAGTATAAAAGCTACCAAATCAGTCAAGGCAATACCATAACATGTTTCAGCTAGATGGTCTTCAGTAAGATTTAAGACTTAAACAACAGAACTGTAGTGTTTTATTCTCCGACTATTATGGAACATTCATGCACTAACAATCGCAACTCATCAATCTGACGGACAGGTGATGATTACAAGTGTACACTGTAGAAATTTGGATTTCAAAACAAAACCTACCTTCTAATGTGTACAATCTTGTAATGAAAGCCAAATACTCGGCGTTCGCTAGTGGAAGACCACAGATACATTTAGAGTATCTAGATAGTTTCTAAAGAAACCCAGGCAACTTGAAAGAATTCATTAACAACTATTAAAGGAACCCTCTGAGGTTACATCCCTTTGATGCATAAGAATCATACTTTGTAAACCTGTAAACATGTACTTTGTTACTTAAAAAAAGTCTTCCTGTCTCCAGGAAAGCAGACTGTTCAAGGCCATGCGTATTCCAGTAGGCCTCTTCCAAAGTTATGACAATATGGCTAAATCCTATGGTTACAAAAAATGAGACCTGCTGAGAAAATGAGTTCCAGACAGGGACTTTTACGGATGACCTTGGCTGACAAATCTTTTTTTGGAAATTGTTTATTTTAAAATTACCTTCCCAACAAACCATGAAACACTTGGAAGTTACTTTATGGTTTTGTGTTTTTTTTTTCATTGAAAACATACTACATCGTAAATGGAGTTTCAGAGTTAGACATAGAACTGATCAAAATCTAAGGACAATAGTATGTAAGGACAATATAAAAAATGGGTGAGAAAAAGTTCCATTGGGTGAGGTCAATCTGAAGGATGCAGATCCATGTGATGTTGGACGGATAAAAAAAGGTGACAACTTTGTGCTTTTTTTCAACTAAGGTACTTACCCAAACCTTAGGTTTTATACAGGTCCTAATTCCCACCTGGAAGGGGACAGTTTTCTATATTACACCTAAATTTATTTTAAATAACTGAAGCCCAAGGCAACAGTTGTTTAAAGCAATAGTCAAATAATGACATAATTTAGTACATTAAAATAAAACTAGAACAGTAATATCTGAATGTCTCAAAAATATACACCTGGGGAAAATAACCACTGTACACCATTTGGAGGCTGTTAAAGTGACCACTTAGAAGGTTGAACAGTGCAAGACAGGCTTTTCCAGTTACAAGCTCAACACAGGAGTGCAAACGAAATTAAAGCTTTTGTTTAAAGTCGAGGACGAGGAAAGCTTGAAATGAATAGAAGAAAGCTCCCCTTGGGTTATCCCCCAGAAATGAAACGATCAAAATGCTTTTGCGTAGAACAGTGTTCCTCAATGAACTTTCTTTCAATGGCAAAACTGCATCCCACAGGCTGGGTCCCCTACTCACTCCACTGGTCATCCCACTTGCTCAGAGATCACACACGGGGGTGAGTAAGGAAAAGTACTAGTAATCAGAGGTCTGATAGCGATAGAGCCTTGAACTTGGGGGTGTTCTGCCTTACCCAGTGTACCTGGACGATACCGAGAACGGATAAAGCAATGGGCTTAATGCTCTATGGTTCCTGTAAAACTGGAGGACAAATGGACTCCCAACCCCCTCCCCCGGAGGCCAGCTGTTGTGGTGGCAGATGTTAAGCAGCTGCTGCTCTGACAAGTGGAGAATTATAGAGGTTCAAGGTCAATACCAGTGCAAGAGCTTTTTACGTGAGTTGCCTAGGCAATGCATGCATCCATCCATGCAAACGTACGACGTGGCCCCAAAGAGAACTGAAAACATGATATAACTGCATAAATCCCTTGCCAGTAGTTTATAAAAATATATAAGTCAATACTGTAGAGGCCCCTTCTACAGTCAATACTATGGAAGTCCGTTTTAGTTACCCCTTACTTCAATACCAAAAAGCATTTACTACTTTTCAGACATTCCAGACAAAGGTCACTTATAACAAAAAGTCAACTTTTTTTTTTTTTTTTAAAAACAAGATACCGTCCATTTAAAAAGTAGGTCTTTTCTTTCAAGTGAACAGGACATTTTCTGTATTAAACTTCTAGTCGGTCAAGACTGGTTTAAGATCCTTAAGTAATGTGCATATATGCAGAAAACAAATAAACTTACTTTAAACAGAGCTGCACAGAAAAAAAAATTAACTCCTCAAAACATGATAGAATAGGTCTGGTTAGTACAAATCTATTGCAAAGTAAAAAGGTTCTGTGCGTCAGTTCAACCAGGAGAAGCGGGGAGAGAATGTCCCAACCACGAGAGTTCAAGTTGAAGTGTGTGCTGAGCGCCCAGAAGCCGCGGGGACGCCGCGCTGCTCACGGAGCCTGATCTGCACAGCTGCTCAGGCCGCTGAGCCAGGCCTCCCTCCGAGCCCATCACTTCCTGCTCCGGAGACGCTTGGACTTCCGAAGAGAGTCTATGGCTTCCGCTGCCTTTTTCCGTTTCCGGGGAGAGACCTCGCCCTGCCCAGACCCTGAGGGGCTGCCTACAGCGCTTTCCATGACTTCCCGCAGTTTGCGCTCCAGCTCGGCCAGCCGCGCGTTCTGTTCGCCTATGATCTGGGTCTGCTCCAGCAGTTTCTGGTCCTGGTCCTGCAGCTGTTTCTGCTGCTCTTGCACTTTGGTGCGGAGCTCAGAGATTTCCCGCCTGAGGACGGTCACGCCGGCACCGTTGGTCTTAACCTGCTGCTGGAGTTTGGTGACCTCTTGTCTGGAGGGGTTCTGCTTGGAGAGCAGCTGCATTGTCGTCAGGGCTGCAGAAGGTCCTGGGACTGTGGGAAAGCAGTTTCAAACAGCCAGTTAATCACTTACAATGTCACACTACCAGTAACACTTCATTAACTAAACTTGTTTTCAAATGGAATGTCCTTCTACCACTTCTGATCACTTCTTCTTTGCAATCTAGTTTGTCTACTGGATTACTCGGACAGGGAAAGAGCAGGTTAGCTCATCTCCACAGGAACATGACACACCGAACACAGTCAAGTAAGAGGTACCTGGAGGCGAGCCCATGAGTCTTCCAGACACATCTGATCCTGGGAGTTTCCTCTTTAGAATTGGAACAATCTTTTCGTCGAAGTACTCCATGGCCATGGAGGAAATGTCCCTCAGCTCCTGGAGCACCTCATGAGCTCGCTGAGGGGCTCTGGTGGAGTTGACATATCTCAACACGCGGTAAATCTCATCAATAACCTAAAACGATGAGCTCTCATTAGCACTTTCGAGATATGTAATAGTTAAACAGGGAGAGAAGTGACTGCTTGTTCTGCAATTCCTGTAAAAATCTGCAGGATGATTTAACTGAGGTACTGACCATTGATAATACCACCACCTGGAACACACGGCTTTGGCCTCGTTAGGATACTTACATTTAGTAAGTACCAGGCACTGTGCTGGGGCTAAAGAATCAGGATGAATATAGCTCCTGCCCTGAAGAAAATCAGTGTAATTGGGGACACATTTATGGGGGAAAAAAAAAAAAAAATCCCACAAAGGATATACACATGCTAAAGACTAGAGGACTAAACTAACATTAAATCCTGTGTGCAAGCAGGGGTAGGGGGATTCCCACACTCATAGTCTGCAAACCCACTTCACTGTGCCCCGAATGCGTCTCCCAAGCCCCAGGAACCCGCCTGCCTCCTCCTCTCTCTACACTGCCACGTGCTCTGTGTCTGGAGGTTTTGTCTCTTGAAAACCTGCTACGGGTTAGAATGAGGTCTTCTCCAATCCCACTGGCTTGCTGTCACCAAAGGCCTGTTTTCTGATCAATGAAATAGGAATAATTCTTCTATCTACCCTGCAGTGATGGAAAGTAATGAGATGATATCTATAAATGCTCTGAGAATTAGAAAGTATTTCATAAATATGAGGGCAATGGCGAGAGAAAGAGACAGGTAGCTGCCGATAAGATAAAATTAGGCACAAAATTCCTTTCCAACTGCTCCTCTCCTGAGGGCAAGGTCAAGGCTGCAGTTAAGGAGCCGCCAGAGCAAAATGCCCAAGGAGACCTACTGCATCTTGAAAACTTAAGATACTGTCCACTGCTGCCACCTCGGTTTTATCCTTTTATTTTGGTTCTAGAAGCAAGAGGTCAACAAGTGGTTTCTAAAAAAATGGCTTTGCCCTCATTTGTTTAGACAGTAAAAGATCATAATTCCAACCACATGATCCTAATGAATTAGAACAAAGATTAGCAACTTCTATAAAGGCCAGATCCTAGCTACCTTGGGCTTTGCAGGCCATATGGACTCTGCCCAGACAACTTCACTCTTGTTAGTAACAGTTGACTGAACTGCAGCCTCTGAGGCCATGAAAACGGCAAGATGTTTCTTAAATATTATATTCTTAACACGGAGATATGCAATAGAAATGAGGCTACAGGGGATAACGCATTCAATGAACTTCTCAGGAATACTTAAGAGATAAGGCCTATCAATCAGATCAGGGTACAATCTGACATTAAGAATCAGAATCTAGCCGGGCTGGCGTGGGTCAGTGGTTGAACACTGAACTATGAACCAGAAGGTCACAGTTTAATTCCCGGTCAGACCACGTGCCTTGACTGCAGGCTGGAGCCCCACTGAGGGGTGTGCAGGATGCAGCTAATTCTCTATCATCATTAATATTTCAACTTCTTTCTCTCCCTTCCTCTCTGAAATCAATAAAAATGTATTTTTAAAAAGTGTGTGTGTGTGTGTGTGTGTGTGTGTGTGTGTGTATGTAATCAGAATCTAAAATTTCTAACTGGTCACCCTTTTAGAGTATTCTACAAAAAAAGCAATGTAGCTAACATGAGTAAAGTGAGTTTCGATAATAATGAATATTTAAAATAAAATGAAAAGAAACAATACCCTCCCAATAAATACCACATAAAACTGAAAACAGAGAAAGTGCGCACAAAATATTAATCTTCTATGGAAATAACAACAAAAATGAACATTTCGATTTTAATAGGCAGTCATTAGTTCTAACCATGTTGGTACTTTTGCTAGTATCAACTAAGTAGCAAAACGACCTTTAATTCCACATTCACCCTTCCGTATAAAAAAAGGATATAGTCATAGTTCATCTGAATTTACACTCAATTCAAGAAGGATGATACTACTGAACGTATGAGTATTAGCAAATATGCCACATATACTTATTTCTGGGGATATTACTATATAATTATTCATTCCTTTCAAATCTGGATGTTTTATAAAGATCTCATGAAACATTTCTCAAATAAAACAAAACCCAGCTTGTCCCTCCTACTCCGCCTCCCCACCCCTAAATTATAACAATCTGGAAGGCAGGACAATACTTATCTTGTTCATTGCTGCGGTATCTCAGGCATCTTAACAAAAAGTAAAAGCTCAGAAGTTTTTTTCTTGAATATGAACTCACAGGCTTCTCTAAGGAACAGCAGGGCTCCTACTGTATATTTCATAATTAACATTTTAAATATAAAGAACACACAAATGACTCATATTCTATTAGGTACTGTGCAGAAAGAAGCCATACAAATCCATCCACAAAAACTCATTCCAGGGAATTAGGAACAACTTTGACATTTAAGAATCACTGTAACTCTGTAATGAACTTTACACAGTACAATCGGCTGTTCTAAATACGCAGTTCTATGTTACCTTTCCTGGGATGAAGCAACAGAGATTGGAATCCACATACTTCATGAAAGTCATATTTAACAGTGAAAGCCTTGTTTCCACGGCTGCAAGGATGTCTGCATGACGAGCTAATGAATGGTTTCTCCTTTCCGACTCTCTCCTGTAATTAGAAAAGCAATCTTTGGAGATGCGCCGTGGACTGCAGTGTTAACCAATCCAAACATCTTAATGCAACAACCTAACATTTGCATGTCCAATTAGAAATCTACAATTGGATCATAATTCAGCTGGAAGGATAAATAAATCATTATGTCCCAAAATCTTTGCTGACAACTAGCACTCACTGACAAAATATTTAGATTTTTAAAAAATTTATTTATATTTTTGCCTATATCAAGCCTAATGGCTGTTAGAATAAGAGAAATTAGAAAAATGAATAGATTTTGGATGTATAGATATTGTATCTTTTGACCTATAAAAGAAATTTTAAATGGCGATCAAGTCCAGTTTACCTATTTCTTCTGCTTGAACTTTCGCTGTTGTAAGAACCCAGTGGCTAACCCAAGTTCATCTAAGAGTGTACAGTACAGCACTGACATTCACAGGCAGGCCTATGACCTGTTTTGAGTAAACTTTTGTATGTTCTGTGAAGGAGTCCAACCTTCTTCTTCTGTGTGTAGATACCCCGTTGTCCCAGCATCAGACATTACTCTTTCCCCACTGAACTGTCTTGGCATTCTTGTTAAAAATCAATTGTTAAAAATGTAAGGTCTATTTTACGGACTCTGAGTTCTGTTCCACTGATCTCTATGTGTGTCCTTGAGTCAGTACCACATTGTTTTATTACAGCTTTGTAATTGGAAAGTGGTAGTCCTCCAACAACTCTGTTCTTTCTCGATTGTTTTTTATTATTCCGAGTCTTTTGTATTTCCAGAGAAATAATAAAATCAGTGTACCAATATCTTCAAAAAAGACAGCTAGGATTTTGTTGAGGATTGCATAAAATGTACAAATCAATTTAAGGAGTATTGCCATCTTAACAATAGAAAATCTTCCAATTCCTCAGCATGGAATGTCTTTCTCCTAGTTCCTCTTTAAATTCTTTTAACAATGTTTGGTAGTTTTCAGTGTACAAGTCCTGCACTTGTTTTGTAATATTTATCACTAAGTATTTTATTATTTTTGGTGCTATTATAAATGAGATTGTCCTTTTAATTTCATTTTTGGATTATTGCCAATTACAGAATTGATTTTTATATATCAATCTTCATCCTATATCCCTTCCTAACTCATTTATTAGCTCTATTAATTAATTAGTGTAGTCCTTATGTATAAGGTTCCATACATTCAGGATTATGTCATCTGTGAACAGAGAGAGGAACGCCTTCTTTTCAACAAGAATGTCTCTTATTTCATTTCCTTCCCTTTCTGCCCTGGCTCGAACGCCAGTAAAATGTTGGACAGAAATGATGAGAGGGAGCAAACGACAGTAAAATATCTCTTATTGAGATCCGGGTACCCCTTTACCACAAATGACTGTTTAACAAATAAAAGGTATTTTAAATACTGATACTCAAAGTAAATCTTTCTCTCTCTCTCTCATAACACCCAAGCACAAATCAAGAAACCCACAAACAAAATCCTCCGTTGTAAAGCACTGCCGCTGCTAGCCATGACACACCTTGGGAGTTGTGCTTTGACTTGTTTCTGACATAGATTATGGTACCTCTCCACTTTTAGAAATCCCTGATTCAACATTCTCTGGCAGACCAAGTCCATTCTTTTACAAACCTACAGGGAGAGAGGAGGAGAAAGAATTTTAGAAAGTAATAATCAAATTAATGACAGACAATTAACTTAAGACTCATAACTGAACAATGCAAGTTCTCTGTGCTAGTATTGTTCCCATTTACGGTCTGAGTCCTTGAGTCATATGTGGGTGAATCCCTCATACTTTGCAAGTCTGACAATAATGCATTAAAAATTAATATATGTAGCAGAAACCGGTTTGGCTCAGTGGATAGAGCGTCGGCCTGCGGACTGAAAGGTCCCAGGTTCGATTCCAGTCAAGGGCATGCACCTTGGTTGCAGGCACATCCCCGGTGGGGGCTGTGCAGGAGGTGGCTGGTTGATGTATCTCTCTAATCGATGTTTCTAGCTCTCTATCCCTCTCCCTTCCTCTCTGTGAAAAATCAATAGAATATATTTTAAAAAATTAATATATGTAGGCAAGGAAAACTTTTCTTTTTATAAAATATATTTTTATTGATTTCAGAGAGGAAGGGAGAGGGAGAGAGAGATAGAAACATAAATGATGCAAGAGAATCACTGACTGGCCGCCTCCAGCAACCTTCTCTCCCTCATTGGGAATGCAGCCTCCAGCCCCAGCATGTGCCCTGACTGGAAATGGAACCACAACCTCCAGGTTCATAGGTCAACGTTCAACCACTGAGCCACACCTGTGGGGCAAAAACTTACCTTCTAACTTAGGTATTTGTTAATAGTTCTAAATGTATCCCCACTAATATGGTCAGATACTGTAGTCCTGAAGGTCAATAAGATAATATATTCAAAGGTTTTTAATAGTTTGAAACAAGAGAAATTCTTAGATAACAATGTATATTCAGCCCTAGCTGGCTTGGCTCAGTGGATAGAGCATCAGCCTGAGGACTGAAGAGTCCTGGGTTCGATTCCAGCCAAGGGCACTTGCCCGGGTTGTGGGCTTAATCCCCAGTAGGGGGCATGCAGGAGGCAGCCAATCAATGATTCTCTCTCATCATCGATGTTTCTCTCCCTCTCTCTCTCTCTCTCTCTGAAATCAATAAAAATATATTTTTTAAAAATGTATACATATAGTCCAGTATCTCACAAAGTTTATATGACCTATAACTGGAATGAGAGTTATTACTCATTTCTACTAGTGATTTGGGTTAACTATAGACCGTTTCTCTATTCCAGATACTATGATGTCCTCCAAAGAATCTAAACATGTGTAGCAGACTCTCAACTATTTTGAATCTTTAAGGAATATGATGTTTATGTACAGTAAGAGCACAGGATCAAAACACTTAAATTTGAGTGCAGTCTTTATGCTTTCTGGAGCGAGTCAGCTACCATTTAAAAACCGAGTCAGCCACCTGTACAATGTGGACAGTATCCAACTCGGGGACATCATGAGGATTAATGGAGCAGTACATGCTAACTCATTGGTAAACTCTAAAGTGTTACATAAAAACCATGTTAAATAAATTTTAGCTTAGTACTATTTTAGAAACTATGCTCCATATACTTAGCTATGTTTCTGAGATATCTCAGCATCTTTCTTATCTTAATGAGACCTAGTACTTAGTATCTGTGTGTGTGTGTTCTTTGATCCCTGACAGTTTTGCCGTGACTCAAGAGTTATCAACCTGAACATTAATTCTCATTGTACAGATGGTGGTGGTGATAGGGAGGGAAAGAGAGTGAGATAAATCTATATCAAGATCAAGTCAATCAGGCAAGGGCTGTCTTACACTTTTTTCTCTCTCTCATAACACCCAAGCACAAATGTTTGACAAATACCTGCTGAAACTATTGATACAAGTTTGCTTCTTCCTGGGAATACAGGGACAAAAAAATTCAAACTGGTTTATGCTAATAAAAGTACTAGTACCCTAATATTAAATAATAGATACGTCCTAAATCACATGTCAAATTAAAGGTATTAAGTAAAACAGTTCTTTTCATATATATTTTTTGACTACATATTTATTGACTTCAGAGAGAGAGGGAGAGGGAAATAGAAACATCAATAGTGAGAGAGAATCATTGATTGGCTGCCTCCTGCACACTCCCTACTGGTAATTAAACCATACCCTGACTGGTAATCAAACCAGTTCACAGACCAATGCTCAACCACTTAGCCACACCAGCCATCCTTTTTAAAAAATATTTTTATTGATTTCAGAGAGGAAAGGAGGGGGAAAGAGAGAAACATCAGTGATGAGAGGGAATCATTGATCGGCTGCTTCCTGCACTGGGGATAGAGCCCACAACCTAAGCACGTGCCTCTGACCAGAACGGAACCTGGGACCCTTCAGTCCACAGGCTGATGCTCTATCCACTGAGCCAAACCAGTGAGGGCCAGAAGCCATCTTTTAAGATAGTACCTTCTTCAACATTGTAAGAATCCACAGCTCTCTTGCCGGGACCGGTTTGGCTCAATGGATAGAGCGTCGGCTTGGGGACTGAAAGGTCCCGGGTTCGATTCCGGTCAAGGGCATGTACCTCGGTTGCGGGCATATCCCCAGTAGGGGGTGTGCAAGAGGCAGCTGATCGATGACTCTCTCTCATCGATGTTTCTAACTCTCTATCTCTCTCCCTTCCTCTGTGTACAAAAATCAATAAAATATATTAAAAAAAAAAAAAAAAAAAAAAAAACCATAAAATTAAAAAAAAAAAAAAAAAAAAAAAAAGAATCCACAGCTCTCAGTTTATCAGGACATACAGGTATATCTGGTTTCTTTCTTCTTTTTTTAAAATGAAATAATGATGGTAAGAGATAGAAGCTACTGTTGTTTTTATTAACATCCTTACTTCTCCCACCTCAAGTTGTCAACCCCAGAGGTTCTCAAAAACAGTTTCTTAAATTTGACAAGTCTGTGAAATAAAATGGTAGAAAGTAGGATTCTGATCACCAGTTCAGGACATCAAAACTTCACACATCCACAACCAATCTCATTTTAATCCAGGTCACCCTTCTGCAATGTTTTGTTCCACTATGTGTCTGCTGTTGTTTTTGTTTTGTGAGGAACGTTCTTCTTCCTTTACTCACGGGATAAACTCATAGTCTTGAAGAAGCCTGTCGTGGTAAATCCTCTCGATTACCCAAAACCCTTGTATGTATGTGCCTGCACGTGTGGTCCTGGTGCTGTCCGTGTGCTCAAGGTGCAAACACTGACAGAGTTCCCGATGAACCCCTTTGCTCTCAGACTAGAATCTATAGATGAAGGAATTACCCTCCAAATATTACAATCTCTTACTTGAACTTAAGCACCTTAATAAAATCAATGACCTGGGGATAAGATTGTAAAGAAAAAAGGAAAAGCAGCAACAAAGGGGGTGTATTCTCTATGACACAGCAGAGGAGCAGTGGTTCCCAAAGTGTGGTCTAGGGAGGGACCCCTGGGATTCCCAAGATACTTTCGTAAGTTCGGGAGGCCAACCATTTGCATATTAAAATGTTATCTGCCATGTTCACTCTCAGTTCTCTCACAACATACAGTGGAGTTTTCCAGAGGCAACACAACACGTGAAAACATTGTTCCCACAGCTGATATCCTATCTAATAAGAGTGATATGCAAATTGACCAGCACTCCACCATACAAGATGGCTGCCCCCATGTGGATACAAGATGGCCAGCAGGGGAGGGCAGTTGGGAAGGACCAGGCCTGCAAGGGAGGGCAGTTGGGGGTGATCAAGCCTGCAGGGGAGGACAGTTAGGGGTGACCATGCTGGCAGAGGAGGGAAGTTGGGGGGTGATTGGGCCTGCAAGAGAGGGCAGTTTTGGGGGACCAGGCCTGCAGGGGAGGGCAGTTAGGGGTGACCAGGCCTGTAGGGGAGGGCAATAGGGGCAAACAGGCTAGCAGGGGAGCAATTAGGCATCAATCAGGTTGGCAGGGGATTGGTTAGGGGGTAATCAGGCTGGCAGGCAGAAGCAGTTAGGGGCAATCAGGAAGGCAGGCAGGTGAGCAGTTGGGAGCCAGCAGTCGTGGATTGTGAGAGGGATCCCAGGTTGGAGAGGGCTGGGCTGAGGGACACACACGCCATGCACAAATTTCATGCACTGGGCCTCTAGTACTATATATTTTTGTGCTTTCTAGAAATGTCTAAAGTAAATTCTTAGGGTCCTCAGCAACTTTTAAGATTATAAAGGTGTCTCAAAACAAAAAAGTTGAGAACCACTGAGATAGAGCAAGAGATATGAAGAAGACAACTTGCCTGTTTTGTTTTTAAAGTAATGGTTTCTCATTTTCCTACCCATCAACCCTCTCTCTCTATAACTGAAATTTTCTAACATTGGAGAAAAGATGTGAAAGGAATTACAAATGGCTAACAGATTTGACTAGAGTGCTCGAGACAAAAGCATGTATTTGTGTATTTTGTTACCAATGGAAAAGTTTCATTCCAGATAATGCGCAATAATTCTGACTCTGACCTTCAGGAAAACGTATGTCCTGAGCTACTAACAGGATTCCGTTAATTTACAGGCACTCCACTTGCTCCCCGAGTATCTGACAGGGTCTCCCTCAAACTTCAACAGCCTCCCCTGCTCCCGAGTCGGCGCTGTCCTTTCCAGGTGGCTCTACTCTGCTCCCTGACCTTTGCCTCCCGTTTCAAACACTCCTCATGCCTGTCAGAGGGCCTCGGCGAGTCTTCTGCTGCACCAGCACGAATCTGTCTGACTTACTAGAAAAACAACTCAAAGTGCAGGCTCTGTCAGTACAAAAGTTGAGTCCAGCCAAATAATTTTAAATACACTAGAGGAATTAAATACTTAAGTACTTAAAACCCGGTGGAACCAGGATTTCCAAGCTCTGGGCACATTTTTGGAGCAACTCCGATGGCAGGAAAACAAACAAACAAAGGATTAACGAGGCGCTTGGCCGGTCCTTTCGAAATGGCTGGACTGCGGAGTCCAGTTTCATTATTCATGGCGGCGGGAGGCAAAGCTGGTTAGCAATCTAAGCGCACAAATCACTGAAAAATGTTAGCAATTTCCACGTCGAGCAGATCTTTTAAAGAAAACACAGAATACTAAGTACCTGTTCTCTAATTTAGACGCTAGCAGAATTATGACTGAGGTCCTAATCAGGCGAGTCAGCTGGGAAGGAGGAAAAACAAGCAGCTGAGCCATGCATAAACCAGCCGATAAGCCCGGGGAGCTGACATTTAGCTTATGAAACCAATTCCTTCCAACCACATCCAGCCTTAATTCCCCTAAAAAGGTAACAAAAGGGACTGTGTCATGTCTGTGCTTTACATCACCACACCTACTGAAGTGCCTGGGGTTTCTGGCAAACAATTCTTAAGGTAGGAACGCACACTTAAATAGAAAAGGCCTGCAGAACACCCACCAGGCACTGTCTCCAGATTTCACCTAAAGGGCATAATTAAATTTAATGCTGACATCTAGTGGCTAGAAAGGACATCTTTCTTTTTCTAATGTTAACCTAAATTGTACCCTTATGACACCAAACCAAAGAATCTAAAACTAAAAGCATCTCCAACTCCCCCCCGGCAAAAGATTATTCATTTAGTCGAAGAATAACCCATTATCCCCAGGTAAAGAAAGGAGTGAGTTCCCCTTTGCTAACGCAGAGAAAAACACAGCTGTGAGATGTCAAACTGGCTGCAGCATCTTTGGGGTGGGGGGCTCGGGGGCTTGGTCAGGAGGGAGTCCTAATGAAAAAAATCTTTGAAACTACAAATCTGTATCCTTAAAAGGCTAGGAGAGATACCTGCTTAAAAATGAAGAATGCAACTGAATATTTCACTTGGAAGCAATGTCACTTAATAGATTGTGGGACGTGTTTTTACTGTCCCCTAGAATGGGCTAGTTCTCCCCCCCTTTAAAAATGCTTTTAATTTTTAAAAAAGACAACTCACAAAAGAACAAAACCCCCAGTTTTCCTCAACACTTATGTAAGGCAGAACTGCGACCATTCCAAGCTTTGCAAAGCTATTGTCTGGCTGAAAGGCTCAATTCAAATGCTATGTATGCCCAGACACCAGGCATGCCTCTGCTCAAACACCATTCTTTATACAAATCTGAAGAAATATTTAAGATTCTACATGAAATTCTAAGAGTCAGATAGGTTGAAAAGTCAGGAACAACCCATTTTGAAATACACTTTCCAAGTGAAGAATTTTCCATCCTGCAGGCTGGAATGAACTGCTGTGTTGACTAGCAAAATAAAATTAGTCATCAGTTTGAATGAGTATCAATAAGCTTTGTTTAAAAAAAAAAAAAATCTGAGTGATTTCCTTAAAAAAAAAAAATGCCATTACAACCCACTTTAAGCTGGAGGTTTAACCCTGAAACACACCTATTGATTGAGGAAGAAAAATGCTAGACACAGCACATTCAAGAAACACGTCTTTGTCCTCTTAAAAAACAACCCCGACCACAGACTTAGCGTCTACACAGCATCGGGTTGCAATCACTTCAAGATGTCCACCCCCTTCCTCTCCTCCCCGCCACTGGGCGATAAATTCTCGCCAAGGAAGCAAAACACGTCTGAGCTGAGACAGGCATCAAACCTCCAGCCAAGCCACCCCCAAAGGCCGAGTCATCCTTTTCGGGAGTCGCTGGCTGGACGGGCCGCTGTGATTGCAGGGTGCAGGGTGCAGGGTGCAGACTCCCCTGCAGCCGGCGGGGCGGTGCAAACCACTAGTTAGAGACCCCGGGTCAAGGGGCAAGTGGCTCCACTGGGGGGAAGGGAAGGGGGGGGAGAAGGGGGTGTCGGGGCGGCGCGGGTCCAGTCCCCCGAACCCCGATGTGGGGAGAACCCACCGTTCCCCCACTTTATCTCCTCCAACAAGGGGGGCGACAAGACGTCCCTCTAGCAGACACCCCGACCCTGGCTGGGTCGCCGCGGGGTCATCTGCCTCCTTGGGGGTCCCGTCCCCCCAAACCCGGCTGGGTCGCCGCGGGGTCATTCTGCCTCCTTGAGCTCTGTCCCCCCAAACCCGGCCGGGCTGGGGGTGGCGTCCAAAGGGCACCCGACGAGCCCCCTCGGGGGTGCCCGCTCAGGCCGGGCAGAGAGGGGGGAGCCCCGCTTCTTGGGTTCTGGGGGGCGCAGTGGCCCCAGAGAGTCGCCCCCAGCCCAGCCCCGAAGCCAGGGCGGCCTCGGGACAAACAAACCCGGATGACAGGCGCCGGGAGGGGGAGGGAGGGCGGGAGGGCCGCGCTCCGGCCTCGGCGGGGCTCGCGGGGCGCTCCCTCTCCTCTCCGTCCCCCCCAGACCTCCGCCCGGCGGAGGGGCGGAGGGGTCCCCGGGGCGGGGGCTCACCAGGCGGAGCTGGCTGATCTCGTCGTAGGACATGAAGCTGAGGATGTTCTCGATGGCTACGATGGGCAGCGCCACCAGCGTGTTGTTTGGAGGCAGCTGGTCCGGGGCCGGCGCCGGGGCCGGGGGCGCCTGGGGGCCCGGCTGCGGGGGCTGCGGCGCGGGCGGGGGGGGCAGCCGCTGGGCAGAGCCGATGGCCGAAGCGGGGCCGCTGTCGCCGTAGCCGCCGCCGCCTTCCTCAGCCATCCTCTCCTCCGCCGCCGCCGCCGCCGCCATCTTGGGGGTTTAATTCCTTCCCCCACTGCGAGGGGGGGGGAATCAGGGACACTTCCGGTGCGTCACTTCCTCCCCCGGGGCGCCGGGGAGGGACACCTGCGGAGGGGGCGGGGCCTGCGAGTGACGGGGCGGGGCCGCGCACAAAGCTGTTTGTTTGAGTGACAAGGGGGCGGGGCCAGGGAGCTCCGGAAGGGGTGACCCCTGATCTGAGATGGGGAGGACTCCAGGGGAATTGCAGGTCACTTGCTTCCCCGCTGCAGTTTTCTTAAAGCTTCCTGACAAAGGAAGATAAAAATGATGTGGACCCAAACCTGTAGACAGAACTATGTGTTTAAAATATAAGTTTTCAAAAATCATAATCATTCTTGTAACATAGAAACCCACACCTGAAACATACATGTTCATGTTGCCCAATGTCACACCAATCATTTAATTTTTTAAAAATGTACAGGAGTCTCCCCTTAGCCCTGGTTTCATTTTCCATAGTTTCAGTCACCTACAGTCAACTGTGGTCTGAAAAATATTACATGGAAAATTCCAGAAATGAGCAATGCTTCAATTTTAAATTGCACACTATTCTGAACAGCACAATAAAAATCTTTCACCTTTAAAAAAAAATCATAATAATTGACTTAGGTAAATAAAAGGAAATGAAGTATTGATGAAAACTATCCCATGGATGAAGCTTGCAAATATGTTCAATGAAAGAAGCCAGCACAAAGGGCTTCCATTTTCTTGAAATGGCCAAATCCTTAGGGACAGAAATAGATGAGTGGGTTCCAGAGGCTGAAGGGAGCTTAGGAAAAGGGGATAGCTGTTAACGGGGGGACAGGGCTTCTTTTTGGAATCAGATCACAGTGATGGTTGCACAGTTTTGTGAGAATACTTGAAACCACTGAATTGCACACTTGAAAGTAGTACATTTTATATGTGAGTTATAGCTCAGTGAAAATTTCGACTTAGGCAAGAATCATCAAAAGGTGCTAAAACTAGCCCTGACCAGTTTGGCTCAGTGGATAGAACGCCGGGCTTTCGGACTGAAAGGTCCCAGGTTCAAGGACATATACCTTGGTTGTGGGCACATCCCAAGTAGAAGGTGTGCAGGAGGCAGTTGATCCTTGTTTCTCTCTCTTCGATGTTTCTAACTCTCTCTCCCTCTCCCTTCCTCTCTGTAAAAAAATCAACAAAATATATATTTTTTAAAAAGATGCTGAAGCTAAAAAGTAAATGTGTGATGTGGAACATAATATTTAGTCTCAATTCTCCACAAATTACATATTTTGAAGCTTTCTGTTATTTGGTTTTGATACTTAAGGTTTCCAAGATGTTCTTTCTTTTGCAGCTTTGGTTTGGAATCTAATTGTTGGATGGTAGATAAAGAAACTGCAAAAATTGCAAAAAATAAAATAAAATAACTAAGGGCAACAGGAAAGGGGAAAGGGGCAACTAAAGCAAGATTAATTGGAAGTAGTGTTGGTTAGCTTGTTAGAATCACCATCCTTTTCCTATTCCTGGGCAAATAAATGATTGGCCATTTTACCTATCATTGTTGCAAATTGCAAATTCCTTTGAAGTTATTTCTTCAGTACTTCTACCCCAGGGTTGTTTAGCATTCAATAAATGCTTTATGCCTAATGAATCTGACACATTTGCATATTTGTAATATATTAGTTTTATCTCAACTAATCGATTGTAATTTCACTTTTCTACTTAGGATATTGCTATCCATAGAACCTATTATAATTTGGCCTGAAATGAACTAATTGTCTACCTTCATTTTAACACAATATCTGGTTAACATCCATCACTGAACTAAACAACACAATACAACTCTGGAAAGAATTTAAACCACTTCCTGACAGTAAGCTCATTCACATTGTCCTCTGTTTATGTACATTGGCTCTGTGCCCTTATATTCCTTACACATTTTTTTACTAGAAAAAAATTTCAAAACAAATGGTTGCTTTATTTTAATTATTAAGATCGCCCTAACTGGCTTGGCTCAGTGGATAGAGTGTCGGCCTGCAGACTGAAAGGCCCAAGGTTTGATTCCAGTCAAGGGCATGTACATTGGTTGCGGGCACATTCCCAGTAGGAGGTGTGCAGGAGGCAGCTGGTTGATGTTTCTCTTTCATCAATGTTTCTAACACTCTATCCCTCTCTCTTCCTTTCTGTAAAAAAATCAATAAAATATATATTTTTTAAAAATCAATGCTTGGCTGTCCCACGGATTCCCACTCATCTCCTCAAAAAGATGGTGGCTTCTTCTTGCTGAAACTGGTTTGGCACAGTGGATAGAGCATCGGCTTTTGGACTGAAGGGTCCCAGGTTCGATTTCGGTCAAGGGCATGCAGGCATATCCCCAGTGGGATGTGTGTGTTTGTGTGTGTGTGTGTGTGTGTGCAAGAGGCAGCTGATCAATGTTTCTAACTTTCTATCCCTCTCCCTTCCTCTCTGTAAAAAAAAAAAAAAAAAAAAAAAAAAAAAAAAAAATCAATAAAATATATTTTTTTAAAATAATCGCATGGAAGTTGGGTGGCTAACCATTGGCATTGATCTCCCAAAGGACATTCTGGGAAGAAGCTGTACAGTGTTTTTGCCTCCTCCTGCCTCACTTTAAGTGTTTGGCCTTTTATGGATACTAAGCTAAGCTTTTAACAATCACAGACCAAGCAATTACTCACATCATTGTCTTGTATCCCTTGGCTTCCTGCTATTATTTTTAATAGTTCTTCCATAATCATATAATAGCTTCATTTATAAGGTCATTGAGATCCAGGAAATAATGAGTGTTCAAATCATTTAGCCAAAGAATGTAAATAATTACACAAGGCAGGACGCTCCCAACTGGGCTGTGGAGGGTAGAGTTTGTAGGATTTAGACTTCACAGCAAAGAAACATAAAAATGTCATATTGCAATTGCAAAAGGAGAAGGGCTAGGTGTTGGAATCTACTGTATCCTGATAACACGTTTAAAATGGGACTAGTGGGATAGCAGAAGGAAGGAAGATTTCTTTATCAAAATAATGGAAGTAGTTGATTTATTTAGGGAGCTGCATCCTTGTTTTCTTCTCCTCTTTGTGAGAATGCTCATTTTCTTTTTAAATATATTTTGTTGATTTTTTACAGAGAGGAAGGGTGAGGGATAAAGAGCTAGAACATCGATGAGAGAGAAACACAGACCAGCCGACTCCTGCACCCCCCCCCCCCCACCGGGGATGTGCCCACAACCAAGGTACATGCCCTTGACCGGAATAGAACCTGGGACCTTTCAGTCCATAGGCCAACGCTCTATCCACTGAGCCAAATCGGTTAGGGCTGGTTGCCTCTTGTATGCTTCCTTCTCAGTCTTCCTGACCAGGGATGCAAGCTGGGTATATTGGGATGACACTCAATAACCAATGGAGCTACCTGGCCCAGGGCACTGGTGTACTTTGCAGGGACAGAATAACACCAGACTGAGAACATTTAGGTAGAGTCAAAGATGTTGAAAGGCAAAGCTTTCAATAGGCAGAAGACTGTAAACGTTCTTTGTCTCCTGCACATGTTATATTGATTTTTTTTTTTTTTTTTGTAAATTAGAAAATCAAATAAAGAAGGAAGCATAGAATTTCAGAGACTGGAGCAGAAGCAAAAGGGATCTAAGCTTCAGACGCAGCGTTTACAGAGTGTTAGTCATGCCTTCTAGGCTGCTCCATAAAGGAATTCAGCTTCTTGGTTTGTTAAGAGGAGAGGCAGAGCAGCACTGACATGGACGTCGTCATGCTTGTAGAAACTGTAGGATGAGCTGACGTGGTTTGAACCTCCCATAACATCGCCAGGAGAGCCATGCTCTTAGGACACACCAGAGAAGCTCATCGTGGCTTCTGTGACAGAGTGACAGGATGCCTTCACTTGCGACCTCTGAGCCCATTGCCAGGAACAGCGGCCATGGACATCACTCGGGTTGGAGGAGAGCGGACAGGAAGCCGTGGTGGTTTTCAGCAAAGGCAGCAGGCAGCTTGCAAAGTGAAGTCAAACATCACACGGCGATTCAGGACTCGGGGGCCATGGCTTCCAAAGGCATTTTCTGAAGAAAGGACTTCTTACTGCAGAGTCCTGGCTGAGCCCTGTCCCTGACCACGAACCTATCCCTATCTGGAATCTTCACCGAGAAGGCCAGGCCCTCAGGGTGCCATGCAGATGGGTCCTCCAGCCATGCCACCTTTCTGCCATCCTCAGAGATAGACTACCCCGTGTCCTTCAGTGGCACTGTTCTTATCCTCTCACCATTCCCTCTTTCCCTCTAAATCCTACTCATTTTTCTGGACCCGGCAATGTCTGCTCTGCTTGGGAAGCCTTCTCACACTACTCCACTCCCCTGTCCCACAAAAGCACAGCCCTGTGCTCCGTGCTTCATAAATATGAACTCACTCAATGCACACACGAGCTTTAGGAGGGAGGTTCTTATTGTCACTATGAAAGGAAGACTGAGACAGACGCATCTAAAAAAGGAGAGAAAGAGTTTACTTGCAAAGAATGCAGGAGCGTCAGCCTTCTGGCTCAGCAAGTACAAACACAAGGATTTAAAGGGATTTAAAGGGATACAACCTTGGGAGATTCTGCTGACCCAATGAAAGCACAGCTTTGAGGATGTCAGCCCCTCCTCCTCACTGACCACGTGAGGACCTAACGGGCTTGGTGATACTCAGCATGCTGAGCCGTTATAGAGCATGCTGCCCGAAACACCAGCTCACCCACTCCCTTAAGTTTCCATTGGAGAAGACATTTCACTCTTGGAAGATCAATAATGGGCAGTATGGCCGGGACCGGTTTGGCTCAATGGATAGAGCGTCAGCTTGGGGACTGAAAGGTCCCGGGTTCGATTCCGGTCAGGGGCATGTACCTTGGTTGCGGGCATATCCCCAGTGGGGCGTATGCAAGAGGCAGCTGATCGATGACTCTCTCTCATCGATGTTTCTGACTCTCTATCTCTCTCCCTTCCTCTCTGTACAAAATCA